TCTTGAGAAATAAATTTTTGAAATAATCTACTTTTTTCGATTTTTTCGAATTTTGCAATTTTCGCTGATTAAGTTTTAAAAATTCATATAAAATCCATTTCTTGGAATATGAGTATGAAAATTTCCCAAAGTGTTAATAAGAGTGTCCTCTTTCCAATGAACCAACACGTTTTGAAAAATAACTTTTAGTTTTTGAGAAAACAATATTTGAAGTTTTGATAAAATTTTCGATGTTGCAATTTTCATCGATAATTTTCAAAATTCGCTATAAAATTAATTTCTTGAAGGATCCTTGTGGAAATATCACCAATTATTAATTAAAGTATCCTCTTTTTAATGCAACAAGCCGTTTTGAAAAATCGCTTTTAATTCTTGAGAAATAAATTTTTGAAATAATCGCAAAATTTTTCGAATTTTACAATTTTTGCGGATTAAGTTTTAAAAATTCGTATAAAATCCATTTCTTGAAATATGAGTATGAAAATTTCACGAAGTGTTAATAAAAGTGTCCTCTTTCCAATGAACCGACCCGTTTTGAAAAATAACTTTTAGTTTTTGATAAAACAATATTTAAAGTTTTGATAAAATTTTCGATGTTGCAATTTTCATCGATAATTTTCAAAATTCGCTATAAAACTCATTTCTTGAAGGATCCTTGTGGAAATATCGCCAATTATTAATTAATCAGCATCAAAAAAGTTCATTTTGTATCTTGGATCCAAATAAGTTGACATATCTTATCAGCTTTCTTACTCTATATCTATACTTGCAGATGGATCAAGCTTACATTGAGTTTCAAAATTTCTAACAAAAAAGTTTTAATACACAAGTCGCAGCTAATTTTATTCTTAACAATATTGGTCTGTAACACTTTTGCGCTCAGATGCATAAATATCGAGAAAAAATCGAATAGGTGAAAATGAAATGAAATCATGTTTTGGAACGTTTTAGAAAAAAAGTGTTAATATAAAAGTTGTAGCAAATTTTATGATAAAGGTGATTCCTGTGAAAAAAATTTGATGATGCAAATAGATTAACCAACATCACTTCAAAACTTTTTTTTTAATTAAGCAATTATTTATATGTATAAACAATCGATTAAGAAGGAGGAGTTTATATTATCCAAGTCGATGGTCAATGATGAATCATTTAAACTAGAAGTAGAACCTATACAGAAGATTAAAGAAAATCATCTAGCAACTGCACCTATAAACGTTACGAAGCAGCCGCCCATTCATTGACATAGCAGCCTGTCAATTCCGCACCAACGGCTTGTTTGATTTCTGATTAATTTTCAAGGAACGCCCGTAACTTTCTTTCCGGACCGTAAATCGAACTGAATAACGGAGGAAGTTTTAAGGAAAGATATTTGAGCGTTTTGAAACCACGACGGCCGATTTTTTAACGGTGCCTCTAATCTTCGGCAAATATTTACTTTCGAAAAACTTCAAAGCCTTTATCCGGCGTATTATACTTTTCACAAAAGATAACTCAGCAAAAGAACCACGTACGGTAAATCTAAAGGAAAAAACCTACAATATTCCGATATATCCTGGTAATACAGGAAGTAAAAATTAAACTATCCTAAAGTTAAATACCCCACTGATAATTGATCATAGACTAAACAAAACTTAATCCACCAAAATAGAAAAAGTAAAAACGAAAAAACCATCTGGTGAACGAACTCGCCGATATGAATTTCTTACTACAACATATCTAAAATAATTCAGTTCCCATAAAATATTTTAACGTATCTCTAAATGGTTAGCAAATGTTTACTTTGTCAAAAAAACATGAAAAATTTTCTCGGTACACATAACACTTTTCACAAAAAGATAACTCAAACGGCTTTAAAACGTCTATTCGTTCGAGAGTTCTAGAAGGCACAACAAGCTGAAGGCTGGGTGATACAGGAAACGAGTCAACCGCTCGGGCGTAATTGCGTTAGGCGATAGATCGCGACGTAAGATAACGCCAGGATGCGATTACACCGGTCGATTATGATGGTAATATACGTCGTGGCGATGGTATCTACCTTACGTACTTTACCATCCGACCACATAGACCCCGATTTATTCCTTGTATAAACACGTTACGAATAATTTATGCGAGCATGATCGCAGAACTAGCTTAATTAATCTATTTTTAAATGAATTCGCTTATGGAAATATTTATGGTTGTAACCTTTAATAATTATTTTGCAATTATACTATTTCAAAGTCAAGAACTAAGAAAAATTCTTTATGTAAGCTATATTAATTAATATCAAGCTAAATTTTGGGATTTATTATTCTGTACAAGTTAAAGTATAAGTTGAGTTCAAAAACTTCCCACGTCAATTTGTCTAATACTTTAAGAGAGCTTTTTGTGAGGCAGATAAAATCTTTCCAAGTTTGTTGTTCCACTTGGAGTAAGAAAAACAAAGCTACAAAGTCTTGAGGATTTCTTCAGCCACTTAAACAATCAGTCAACACCCAATCTAAAGTTCACCATGTAGGAAGAAAAAAAAGTGCAGCTACCATTGCTCGATATGTCAGTAATAAATAACTTAAACACGGAGTGTACCGGAAAAAAACACACACGAACAGGTACCTACAAGCATTATGACAACACAAAACATTCGTGATTCTCACTGTTTTTCAAAGAGCCAGGAGAAGAAGCTCCACGTCGAAGGATATACAACAAGAAAAAGAAGCTACAGACAACAGATACGGTAAGTAGCCAACCAGCGAGCTTCATTTGTCTTCCTTTTGTTTCAGATGTAATGAAAAAAATGCCCAAGCGACTTAAAAAGGACGACATCATGGTGAGACATGGAACAGTCTGCAAACTACGGAACGCATTGTCGCTGATTATCTGATTACCGCTAGATTTAGAGGTAAAAAAGATATAATACCTATTGCTATGAGAAAGAAAATAAGTAACCTGGTTAAGAAGCAAAAAAAAAAAAAAAGTTTATAGCAGAGCGTGGTTTCGATCCACGGACCTCTGGGTTATGGGCCCAGCACGCTTCCACTGCGCCACTCTGCTTATAATAATTCTGATCAAATATAAAAACTTAAATTTATGTTAACCCATAGAATACTTATGAGAAATATTAATAAATATATGCAACAATAATCGAATGTTTTAAACTTTGCAAAAGGAGATTAAAATATTTGTTAAAATTTTTAAACAAAAATTATTTCGTTAATTTATTTTTTTTATTCAGAAAAGACAAAAAATTAATAGCAGAGCGTGGTTTCGATCCACGGACCTCTGGGTTATGGGCCCAGCACGCTTCCACTGCGCCACTCTGCTGATGAAAAATTTAATGAAAATGTCAAATTCGGGGTTGAGCATTAATAATTAGTAATTTTAAGTAATAATCTAAAGTTAATAAACAGATTGAATGGTTATAAAACATATTTATCCGCACTAGAATGTGCTGCGCATGAAAACTTGCGGGTTATAACAAGGGTTGGTGTATTATATGTATGTTGGTAGCATTAGCAACTAACTTCGTGGCATATCATTCTATAAGTGACAGTTACGATGATTGTGTAAAAACTAGATTCTCGTTAATAAAGTAAATTAAAGTGAGTGTTTTATTAGTTAAAAGATTAATACACGACATGGTGTTAGGTGTAATCAAGCAAAAGAAAAAAAATGGATTGCTTTAGGAATGAACTTTACAAAAAATGTAAGTGAGAATTGGAAATTGTTCAAACAGAAATTTGAAATCTATTTAAAAGCTACGGAAAAAGAAAGTCGGTCATCAAGCTCGATGACTACATATTCGATAAATGGGTAGAAAATATTTTGCCGACAGTAAACTTTAACAGTGATATAGCAAATCTTCCTTAAAACAGTCAGCGAAACTATAAATTGACTGTTTTCCATTGCGGCGTGTAACTACAAAGCTTGGGTTACAACTTCTTTTCCAGATTCCTGAAGAGCCTGAAGTGCTGCATGTACTACAGTAAACATCTCAGCAAACCTTTCGACAACTGTGTGTTTTTCTGTCCAGCGTGTCTCATAAGCAAGATAATCGTTGAATGAGGTGCTTCAATCTCGTTCGCAGGTTGTTTTAGAAGTCCGTCACGAAGTGCTCATTGCCGAAAGAAGTTAATAATACTTTTAATAGTTCCAATAAAGTTTCGAATTGCATGGAACTCGCATGAATGAGCCAAAGCTAAGTTTAATGTATGCGCCACATAATGTACAAACAGTGTTCGGGGATATTTGTCCATGATTAATGTCCTTACACCTTTAAATCGACCGCTCATCACAGCCAAACAATCCAAACAACTTAAGTCTATCCATGATTGTCGCCGCTAAAGCTAACATCATCAACATGGGCAAATTCAATGAAGTCTTCTCTAATAAATGACTTTCCAGAAGAGCAGTCAACATACCGAACAAAGTGACGTCTTGAGTTTCCTCGGCAAGTATAGCAAAGAACTCCTGAACAGCATTTCCACACAAATCAATAATTTCATTTTGAATGACGAACGATGTGTACATAACCGAGTATGAGTACTTTGAGAAATTAAGTTTTTATTTCCCTTGGTGGAAATAATAGTAAAGAGCCACTTTGTTATTATAAGGAGCACTTAATAATGCGGAACTTGTAACTTATTGTTAGACTTAATGTAACAAATCCATTAGGTAAATCCACAAATTCTTAGTCATTCTTCTACCTGCATTATAACTCGCGTCTTGATAAAGAAAAGAACCTGTAACTGATTCTGAACTTAAAAATAGCACATATTAATAATTTCCCCTCATACACGATTCACCGTCCTCATACATCCCTTTCATTACCGTCATAATTAGACGTTCCTATAGCATTAATCGTCAGGTGAAATACAATGAAAGAACAACAGCAGAAACACGACTAGCACAGGATAAAAAACGGTAATCTTCGGCGAGTAGGTTCCTGCCACGGACTCACGTCGCAGTCGCACCGACGATCGCGAAAGAAATTGTCTCTCCACAAGAGGAACTTATTTTCTTGCCTAAAGAAAACGTTTTATTTTCCTTTCGTTACGAAGAAAAAACGCGCGTGCCGAATGTAATTAAAAAAAATTATAATAATAATGGATTGTTAGTTGGTTGTAACAATTAGGAGGACCCCCACTCGAACCATAATCTCCGCCCCCCTGTCCCCTACGGGTGCCAAACCCGTGGGTCCAACACAGGGTGGTTCTCGCTTAACATCCAACAGCCGACGTCTCTAACGTCTTGATCCTGGCAGTGATTAGCCGGTGGTGTCCCCAGACCGACAAAGCGGTTCCGACGCTCGCCACTCACTACTCTCTCGCGCCGCCGCCACCGCCTCTTTTAATCCCAAGTCGCTAGTCAGCTACTCGTCCTTCCGGGTTCCGCGGAGGCGGTCGACCAAACAACACAAATTATTTCAATTTCTTTTTTTGATAAAAAAAAATTTGTGAAAAAAAAACGTTTGGTGTTTTGAGTGATTTGATTGAATTCTTTTTGGTTTATTAAAAGTTTTTTTTTATTTGAGGGGGTAGATTTGAAAATGTGAATTATTTTTGAATTTCGTGCAAAATCCGATTTTGGATCGGCTTCCGGTTCTGGGTCCGGTGCAATGCGGCAAGAATGTTGTTAAGCTCGCCGCTGTGCATCACGCTCTTTGTTGCTTTGTTGACCTGGTAAGTGTTTGTTAAGAAATTCTTTTAACACCTTATAAGGTGTATTTACTTTAAATATTTATTAATAAATAGAAAATACATAAACAGAAACGATATAAAATTTTAAAAAAAATTGTAAACACCGTTGTCATTGAAAGCATCTGCGACACGAGGTTTTAAATTCCACGTTACATTTTAACACAATGATTAGGCTTTGGAAATGTTTTATACCTACAAGCAATTAGTAAATCATCCTGTCACCTTTTTTTCTTTGACAATGTATCGATAATAGGAAGTTTAGTACATTTTTTAAAGTATAAGTAACTGTTTCAACATAATATTGTGTATCATCACTACATCAAATAGAAATTATGGCTGTTTACTTAAATTTTTGTGTTGTTATATTTATAAATCTTCTTGAATGGTAAGGTTAAATAAATGCACATGAAAAATGGTTTTTCGTATTACACAATACTTTTTACATTCAAAGATAACATTGACGCACTTTTTAGTGTTCACTTTCTAAAAATAAATTAGGCTCATTCAATAAATTAGATGAAACCCCCTGGCAAAATTCAAAAACGATTTTATTCCCTACGCTTAAATGAAGGGGTTGTTCTTTGTGCCTCGACGTAATAACATGGGGGTTACTTAAATTTAAATTAGAGGGGAATTTAAATGAACAATAGGAACATCGTTTGTATTTATTGTCGGGGATGTCCTTCTCTTTTTTTTTATTGTTGTTATTCATTTCAAACCCCCACTTTATATTCCATTCTAGGACTATAATAGATTTGAAACGCGGTAAAGTTGAGTTACCTTCATCAAAATGTTAAAAACAACATCTCTTTATTGACATAGATGTGTTATTATGTTATTAATTTAAACGCGCTTTATCACAGATATTTCTTAGTAAATGTAGGTTGTCTAAAAGATTTCCAATAACTCTTACGGTACACCACATTCAATCTAAAATAACTTTACCGTACATTATTCTAGCATAACTCGCTTTATCGTCAATCAGATGAGTTCTATATATGTAATTGATTAAAGCTCAACAAATAACGTTAAGAAAAAAACAATTTTTAACAAAAAATTGACGCTTGAAATCTCTTTGGGTATGAATGTGTCAAAGCAAACGTATTAACGGACTAAAACGCGTTTAAAAACTCCTACATGTTTCAAGTTACGACCAATTATACCTTTGCCAGCCTTTATTATTTCACACATATTTGATATTAGGAAGTGACTTGGAACAAACGGGTCCAACACGACGAGTCTGTCCCGTTGTTTGAGTGCGAGAACATATGGCTTCGAGTTGAAGAAGAAAAACGTTTGAAAAGAAGAAAAGTTTCGAAGCATCTAAGGTCATTAACACACATCACGTCAGGTTGTTAGAAATTTAAACCGATCTATTTGCTCGAGTCAGTTTCAAAATAATCGCGAAAATGAGTTATTATGCGGCTGAGAATTATGTGAAGTGTATAAATTGGGTATGAATATTTTATGAGATTTTGTAAGATATGTGACAAAATAATTAGATATACCTACTTAGCATATAAGATATTAATGAAAATTTTCCGCAACGATTTTATTTTCTGAAAATAAATGGAAAAAATGCAATAAGAGAAAGGGACGTGAAAGGAAATTGGAAACAAAAATATTTAGCCAATAAACCAATTCATCCCATCGGTCTAAACGCATAAGAATTGGTCTTAACTCAACAATAAAAAGAGATGGATTAAAATGAAGCTTAAAGATTTACTATTTTATGATGCGTTTAAAAAATTATAACGTCTGTAATTTTTTAGAATTATGATATGATATATATGTTAAATTGAAGCTTAAAGGTTCTATTTTATGATGTGGTATAAAAATTATTAGATAACATTATTGAAATTTCTAGTAAAAAGTTATTAAAGAAGAAATTGTCAAATTTATGGTTCAAAAATATTACGAAATTTTCAAAAAATTATATCGGCTGTATTTTTAAGAATTATAATGTGATATATATGTTAAATTAAAGCTTAAAGATTCTATTTTATAATGTGATATAAAAATTATTAGATAACATTATTGAAATTTCCAATAAAAAGTTATTAAAGAAGAAATTGTCAAATTTATGAATCAGATATATTACGAAATTTTCAAAAAATCATATCGGCTGTATTTTTAAGAATTATGATGTGATATATATGTTAAATTGAAGCTTAAAGGTTCTATTTTATGATGTGATATAAAAATTATTAGATGACATTATTGAAATTTCCAGTAAAAAGTTATTAAAGAAGAAATTGTCAAATTTATGAATCAAAAATATTACGAAATTTTCAAAAAATCATTTCGGCTGTATTTTTAAGAATTATGATATGATATATATGTTAAATTGAAGCTTAAAGGTTCTATTTTATGATGTGATAGAAAAATTATTAGATAACATTATTGAAATTTCCAGTAAAAAGTTATTAAAGAAGAAATTGTCAAATTTAAGGATCAAAAATTTTCCGAAATTTTCAAAAAATCATTTCGGCTGTATTTTTAAGAATTATAATCTGATATATATGTTAAATTAAAGCTTAAAGGTTCTATTTTATAATGTGATATAAAAATTATTCGATAACATTATTGAAATTTCCAGTAAAAAGTTATTAAAGAAGAAATTGTCAAATTTATGAATCAAAAATATTACGAAATTTTCAAAAAATCATTTCGGCTGTATTTTTAAGAATTATGATATGATATATATGTTAAATTAAAGCTTAAAGGTTCTATTTTATGATGTGATATAAAAATTATTAGATAACATTATTGAAATTTCCAGTAAAAAGTTATTAAAGAAGAAATTGTCAAATTTATGAATCAAAAATATTACGAAATTTTCAAAAAATCATTTCGGCTGTATTTTTAAGAATTATGATATGATATATATGTTAAATTAAAGCTTAAAGGTTCTATTTTATGATATGATATAAAAATTATTAGATAACATTATTGAAATTTCCAGTAAAAAGTTATTAAAGAAGAAATAGTCAAATTTATGAATAAAAAATATTACGAAATTTTCAAAAAATTATATCTCCTGTAATTTTTTAGAATATATATATATATGTTAAATTGAAGCTTAAACATTTTATTTTATGATGTGATATAAAAACTATAAGATAGTATTATTGAAATTTCCAGGAAAGAATTCAATAACAATATACAACAACCTGACGCCGAAAACACTAAAACTAACTCGACGAAATCTGAATGTCATCTAGCTCTTGGTTTAGTCAAACAAAGTTCTCTGTTGTTCTATAAAGTAGAAATACATAAAAATAGAAAAACTACAACATATAAAATGAATACATAAAATACAATTTAAATTATTTCTAAAATAATAATTTTTACATTCCTTTTTTAAGCTGCCTTAAATTGTGGTTAAAAAATATTCCCAATTTCATTTGGGACACGTGACATCACACGGAGGAACGGAATTCCAACCTCTGATAGTAGACTTAATTAACGAAAAAACAGGACGATACAAATTACAGTCGCGAGGAAAGGACAATTTTCCCACGCGAGCTCACATATTTTACATGTTGGCATTCTTGAACCGACGGTATGCGGTCGGAGCATCGAGCTTCAACCTGTCGATGTTCAAAATTCTAACGATACTTTAAGTGGGAACTATTCTAAAACCCAGATCGATCAACCAGATCGTTTCCGTTTTTTAGTCCACACCAAAATTATGCGCAAATATCCTATTTTTAACATTTTTTTCTTTTTTATAGTATAAATGGAAATTATCCAGAAGGTAAATTAAGAACAAGATTCGTACCGTTTCCCGATAAAACACTTTGTAGAGTAACGCCAGGATTAGCAAAGCATCAAAAAGATCTTTGCATGAAGAAACCGGACGTTACAAAAGAAGCAATTTTTGGCATAAAAATGGCATACAGGGAATGTGGCCAACAATTTGAAGGACACAGATGGAATTGTACGTCATTGATGAGCTCTACAGGAAATCCTTACGCCAACGCAATTTTAAGGCGAGGTAAGATTACTTCTCAACTGATTTATTGATTTTATGGTTGGTACTTACAAACACAATAAAGCGATAATTCTTCTTCATCGTATTAAAACGTAATATGATTACGATGATACAACATTAATGTGTCGAACGATTATGGTGAAAATTAATTGATAAATAATTCATGTCGACTGATAAAGATTTATGTTTGTAGCATTGCAATAAATAAGTCACCATGTTTAACGTCGAATGTAGACCGGTTAAATTTAAGAATTTTTAAAGGAATTTATCCTTAAACGATTCATGTTCGCGTTAGAACGACTATAAATTATTAATTAATTCCAGGTCTAATTAGCTATTTCTGTTTCTTGATTATATATCACCAGCGATCGACAACCGTTTTACATAATTCCTACTGAAGCAACCTTTTCTTGTTAACATAGCACGTTTTTATTCGCTAAACGTCCAATTACGCATTGATAATTAATTAGATTCATGATTTATTTTATCAACTTTTTTTAATTATATACATATTTAAAATAAAATATATGTTATATAATCTTGATACATATTTTTTAATGTAATCAAAATTGTTAGAAAATCTGCCTTGGCGGGTATCTTTTTGACCCATTATTGACATGACTTCGTAGCATCGATATTCCAAAATAATTTTTGAAAATTTCTTCTATAATAATTTTTTTATGGAAGTTTCAATAATAGGTATTATCTTATAGCTTTTATATGACATCATGAACTAGAATCTTTGAGTTTCAATTTATTATATAAATTATTCTTAAAAATACCGTCGATATGATTTTTTTTTAATTTCCATTCATAAATTTTACAATTTCTTCTTTAATATATTCTTTTATTTTGGAAAAATTCAAGAATTATCAATCGACGATTTTTTTTTAATCGATGTGAAATGACCCCAAAAACACGTTAAAAATAAAAAGAAACTGCGGAAAAATGTAGAACATACCGAAAAATCACATTAAAGTTTCGATGTGACGTCACAAGCAATATTAACCATGCATTTTCCTATTAAACTGGTCAACACCTAACCTACAAACTGTTTATTTTATAGCCTTACACAAAATCAATATGATAAACTTAAAAGTAAAGTTATTTACCTAATTCTATTATGAAAATTAAATTTTACATGTCTTTTTGAAGTTATGTAACGCATTTTTTATAACTAGTGATGTAATGAAATCATTACATCACTAGTGATGTAATGAATTCCATTACCTAACTACAAATTGATAAATTGATATCTGTCACTAATAGAATAAGTTAACTTTGGACCAAGAATTGATTTTTCAATGGAATTAGATAAAATTTTGTACTTAACACGTTATGAAACGACTAATTTTGTTTGACGAATGTAATATTTGTCAAAACGGGCAAGCGAGCGAGTTTTGCAAATTACGTGAGTCTTTTCAAAACAAGTTACGTAAATAATTATTTCACTAAACTAGGTGAGATTACAACGTATATTTACGGATGAAACAAGCTTGTTTTTCTTAGGCTTTCGATGCATAACGACTGACTACCTGTTGTTAGATAGACTGTGTGTCAATAGACTCTGTGTTAATAGTAGAACTAACACTAGACCGAAAACTAGAAACATTCGGGTTTAGTCCTTCGCTCTTACCTATGCAACCGTCAACAATTTGTGTCATTCAATGGGCAACAATCTGAAACTCTGCCAATGAAACAAGGGGTTCCACAGGGGTCAGTGCTTGGTCCTATTCTGCTTTTAATCTTCATAAACGACCTCTTGCTGGTACCACCCCACCCTACAAAGCTCGTTATGTTTGCGGATGACACAACTACGATAAATAGTAGTTGTCATCAGATAAAATTGGTGGATATGGTGGAAAGTAGGAGGGGTACGATCTTTGATTGGTTCCAACAAAACAAACTATGTATGACACCAAAACACAAACTCTTAACATTAAACTTAACATTAAATAAAAATATATATCTAATACGTCAACTGAAATACGGATATTTTTTCTCTGCCAGTGTTTTTCGGACTCAGAGGAGATGTGTCAGGGTGATTGCGGGCATTTCCTACACCGATTGTTGTTTTCATTGAGCTCAATCTACTAACGCTTCCATCCTTATACACATTACTTGCCTAAAGTACATTAAAACTAATAATAAAAATTATAAAACTAAGAGTTGCAACCACAATTACCAAACGAGGCACAGAAATTTAATAATTATTAAATTATAGTCGAACGGCGAGGGCCAGGGACGGAGTTAATCATTACGGCATAAAATTTTACAATGTATTACCTGACCATATAAAATCCTTAAAGGAAAAACAGTTCACCAATAGAATGAAGTCTTATCTCATAAAAAATGCCTTCTACTGTATCGACGAGTTTCTCGAAAACTGTTTTGACGACTTTTGGTAGCTATCAGAGATATAGCACCAACTTCTCGTTTCTGCTCCTAAATTTAATTTAATTTTACACCTGTGAATGTATTTAATAGAATGACGTGTGAAAATACTTTGTATGTACATCACCAATAAATTTATTATTATTATTATTAATAGTGCTAGTGCAAAACTATTAGAACTAACACTAGACCTAGATCTAGAAACTTTCGGATTTAGCCTCACGTCGCTCAAGACGGCTAAACCCGAATGATTCTAGTACTAGGTCTTGTGTTAGTTCTAGTGATAGTGTTAGTGTAAGACTAGAACTAACACTACTATCCGTGCAAAAAATCAAGGCCCCTCAGTTTAGAGATCGATATCTTCGTAACCGCTCGATGGAAAAAATTGCGGTAAAGTTTATTGTAATCAGTGAACATTTGTGCGTATCACATGTTAATTTGGAAATTTTCGGGTCCGCGGTTTTTCTTTTATCGCGAGTTAAGTGAAAAAAGTACCCGATTTTTGAGAGTGCCAGCAACTTTGTCTACTTTGCGATTTTTATTCTTAAAGACTTTCTGACGAAAAAAATTTAAATTTGAACTGATGGTAAACTGATGTGTTCTTAATGTGGGGCATATTTTATTTTTTCGATATTCCATATAGTTTTGCGGAAAATCGCGAATTAGTAGGATGCGGTTATTTCGAAAACGATCTGGTGGATTTCAACGCGGTTTTTACCAAAATATGTCAAATAATGTCGGTTGTCGGATTCCGTTATCAGTTTTTCAAAATTAGGGTTCCCTAATTTTTTAAGAGCGATTTAATGGAATAACACATTAAAGAGAAACAGAAATAAGCTATGCGGGGAGGAGAGGGTTCTGTCCAATCGGAACAGATAGTGCGTCCCAGACAGTACGTCGCGCCTTTATTTTACCTACATAAAGAAATAAGGCGCGACGTCCTGTCTGGGACGCACCATCTGTTCCGATTGGACGGAACCCCCGTTACCCCGCAGAGCTTATTTCTATTTCTCTTTAATTTGTAATTCCATTAAATCGCTTTTTAAAAATTAAGGAGCTCTAATTTTGAAAAACTGATATCGGAATCCGACATTATTAGACATATTTTGGTCAAATCCGCGAGAAAATCCACCCAGCCGCTTTTGACATAACGGCGTCTTACTAAACCGTGATTTTCCGTGAAACTGTATGGAATATCGAAAAAATAAAATATGTCACTCATTAAGAACACATCAGACTACCACCTGTTCAAAATTCAATTTTTTTCGTACGATAGTTTTCAAGAAAAAAAATCGCAAAGTTGACAAAGTTGCCGGTACCGTAAAAAATCGGGTACTTTTCTCATTTAACTCGCGATAACAAGAAAACTTTGGATCCGAAAATTTTCAAATTAACATATGTTATGTAGAAATGTTCAGTGATTACAACAAACTTTGTCGCAACTTTTTTTATCGAGGAGTTGCGAAGATATCGATCTCTAAAGTGAGGGGCCTTGACTTTTTACACGGATAGTAGACCTAGAACCACAAAAAATGACGTCACGTCGAAACTTTAAATTGATTTTTCGGTAAGTTTTACACTTTTCCGCACTTTTTTTTAATTTGTAACGGCTTACTTGAGTGATTTCTCGTCGATTAAAAAAAAGTTGTCGTTTTTTAAGCGACTTGATGATTCCTGAATTATATACCTTTATTTTATTCGTAAGATAAAAATCAATGTTAAATGAAAATTGATTGTAATTCATTTGAATTCAGAGTGTGTAAAAACCGAGATAAACCCATAAAGATTTCACCCGATGTCGTCTCCGGAACGGTAGCCGATAAAAATTTTATCACCTTGCTCACACGATCTCTCTAGCGTTCGCACGTCGCGGAATCCGCCCAGATGAACGTTTCACGTTCGCGGATTGATTCCGTCGCGTTTTCACGGGCCGAAAAGGCGTTACGTTCCGCGGAGGACTCCGTTGCCCTTTTTTGGGGGGGCGAAACGCACCGTTCGAAACGTTCCTGCGCGGCGTCCTACTTGGTCTTTTACGACGTTTCAGATGCCGAGACCGCGGGAAAGGGCGCCAGACGAAACACGATTCCCAGCTCGTTTAACACGTTGTTGGAATCGACGAGATGCACCTATACTCCTTTTCTCACCTTCCTTCGATTCCTTTATATCACCCGTTGGAGTTGTATCGAAAATGGTTACAACTATGTTTGAAAGATCGTGAGAGAAAAATTTATAAGTAAAATATTTCTTCATTAAAACCCCTTTTTGATCTTTTATGGTTATAAAACGTAAACGGTATATCTTTTTCTTTTATTTTCAATTGGAGGGTTTCTTGGTTGCATCTTAACGTTAATTTAGAGGTTTCGGTTATCTGGCTCAAATATGCTGATAATCCGAGGGTCGGTAATAACCAAAGGAGAAGCTGGTATACACAGAGAGACACATTTTTCGCTAAATTAACGCGTCGTTAAATGGGTTTCTTCGACGACGGGCGAAGAAGGAAAAAGACGCATTTGGAAGACGCAACGTGGACCTCCACGACGCGACGTCCACGAGCGTTTATGGTCAATATTTCAAGCCGTTTATTGGTATCCGATCGTTAAAGAAGCCGT